GATCACCAGTCATACCCAAAGGTATATAAAACCTGGTGGACATCACCTGGCTGCTGCCATTTGTTTTCACACTGCCACATTTTGACCATTTTGACATTCGGTGCAACACTGTTCACCTCTTTTCGAACGCTGCTTTCGAATGGCTGAGCTGAGAAGTCCTTTCTGCTGAGAACGAAGATGCGTCCCTCATTGCTTCCCAACAGCTGCTTACTTTATTTTCTCCTCCTTCTCTTTCTCCTGCACATTCTCGTCATTGGAAAGTTGCACTCGTACCGAGTGGTAAGTAGAATACTGATCGCCCACAAACACACACACCTGGTGAACACCACCAATTACCCACTGACCTGCTGATCTAATGTTCTTGTTGTTATTCACTCTTATAATGTCTTTGCATTGCACTTCTAATCTACGTCAAACATACACCTGGACACCTGGACACCTGACACTTGGCACGACAGCACCAAATGCGTATCTGCATTCAATCGGTGGACCAGTCTCGTCTGCCCAGTCAGTGTATCTACTGCAAGACGCGCGTCTTTCCGCTCACCGTACGACTCTGCACCGCCAACGTAAGTCAACAAACTGTCAACACGGTAGCTTACAGGGCAAACAACAAGATAGCCAGGGCGAGCTGAGGACAGTGGCACAGTGTGTGACAAGGTCAAGGTGTTGCTGCTGCTGGTAGTAGTGGGCGCCTGTTCTCTGTTAACCAGAATCACCCTCTATCTCTTCCCCACTGCAGACGTATTTACCCTCGAGAATGTCGCTCACCGAGGCCTACTGCCTGACGACCGCCTGCAGACGGGTAAGTAGTCAGTGGTCAGATTGGTGCTATATTTCCTACTTCTCGATTTTCAATCTGCCTAATTTGAAAACGATGTCCTTTCTCTTTCTCTCTTCAACAGCAACTGCCCCGAATGCCACCGGAACCGTACACTCCGACAGGCATTTCGCCCAACTCAGTGGCGATTGGAAATGCCAACGCTCCGCCGGGAATCAATACGGGTGATGGCGGCGGCGGAGATGGTGGTGGAAATAACGGTTTCCACAACAACATGGGAAATGGAGATGGAAATGGAGGGGGAGGAGGAGGAGGTGGTGGTGGAGGAAATGGCGGCGACGAGAACTACGAAGAGGCAGAGAGCCTGATGGCCCAGCAGCCCAGCCGAGTGAGACCACCTGCCAAGTTNCAACAACATGGGAAATGGAGATGGAAATGGAGGGGGAGGAGGAGGAGGTGGTGGTGGGAATGGAGGCGACGAGAACTACGAAGAGGCGGAGAGCCTGATGGCCCAGCAGCCCAGCCGAGTGAGACCACCTGCCAAGTTCTTCCTCGGTCAGCCGCAGAAGTTCAAGAAGCCCAGTAAGTGTGAGTGCGGCGACTGCTGCTGCTGCTGCTGTTTGACGCTTAAGCGCCTGATGACGTTTTTTCTCTCCTCTTCTTTTCTTTTTTCCTTTTCCTTTTCTTCTTCCGCCAACAGTGAAATTCCTCTTTGGATGACGCAGAGCGGCGTCTTAGCGTGCACAAGGTGGAAAACACCGGCGCAAATGAATGGACGGAAAAGAAATGAATGGCAATGCTGTGACAACAGTGCTTGCCTGCCTTTTGTTGCTTCTTCCCTTCTCTCTTCTTAACGGTGCAGTTCCTTCTCTTTCTCTCTTTCTCCTTCAATAAAGTGCAGTTGAAGTGTAGTGGTAGTACTCTACATGGGTATTGCACTTCGTCAGAGTCATTTCGTCAGAGAGGAGAGAAAGACTCTCGCTGGTAGTGGTGGTGGTTTCTCCCAATTGGCAAAGACTGTAGCTCTGCTCTGCCCTTTGGTGATTCACAGCAGTGACGTGATAATGGAAAAGTGGTGTGCTTGCACCGGTGCTGAAGAGAGTGCTGTACAGCTTGCGCGCCTTTTCTCTCGCCCATTGAAACGTCCACGATCACCACTGCCACCATCGTCATCATCATCATCATCCTCGCCGATATCCTTCCTCTGCCACGGGAGCGCGCCAATTTTCGCGCCACTGCACTCACTCTCAACGGTACTGTATATATCCCATCCTCTCTTTCTGGTTGAGGATGACCGTCGTCGTAGTCGAAGAAAGAGGTCACAGGCCGCCGAGGTAGCCTCTGCGCATTTTTCGGGCGCCAGTGTGCACAGTAGAGCTCTCAGAGAAGAGAGTTGGAGTAGTTGGAGAAAAATTCGTGGCGCCCGATTGAGAAGAAGAGAGGCCAGGCAGCCAGGCGCCAGTCAGCCAGCCAAGCAGGCAGGCAGGCAGTCAGCCACCACGAAGCGAAGCGGACAACGAGTTGATGCCATCAGCCTGATGAAGAGAGAGAGAGAGGAGACATTGACCAGCTCGAGGAGTTTATTGCTCCGATTGCTCACATGCGCTGTCCGCTGGCGTGGTGGTGGTGGTAGCGGTAGAAGCAGCAGAAGCAGCCTGCAGGGTAGTCCCAGTTTTGAGGATGCTTCGCAGTGATCGAAATCGAACAGTATGTGCATACTAAATCGAGACTAGGGCCCTTTAATTCGAAATCAAAAGTCAGCTGAGCGATGCGTGCGTGTGTGCCCTTTCCTCCTCTCCACGGCGACCACCACCGAAGCACAAAAGAGCGGGTCCCCGAGGTGACGGGGGGCCAGCAAAGGCAAAGGCAAAAGGAACAGCCGCTCACAGGCAGGCAGGCAAAGGCACTGGCACAATGAGCGCCGATTGCTCGAGAGGGAAAGGAGAAGAAGAAGAAGAAGGCCGCCAAAAGCTGCTGCAGCCGCCGCCGTGGTAGGGCAGAGGTAGTGGCACTGGCTGATGAACGCACAGCTGTGTCCGTCGACAGCAGAAGCAGCATCAGCCTTTCCTTCTGCACACACACACATTTTCTCTTTCTCTCTCATTCACTGACTCGATTGTGATTCACGTACTCCCCGAGCCTGCCTGCCACTCTTCTTCCCACCGACCGAGGCATCCTCATCATCATCATCATCTGCTGCTGCTCCTGCTGCTCACCGGTCCAAAGCCTCCCGGGTCCCAGCCAGCCAGTCTGCTGCTGCTGCGGCGACCACCCCAACCCCAGTAGCCCCGTAGGAGGAGGAGAAGTAGTGGACGAAGAAGCAGGGGAAGCCAGGGCAGCGGTCGGCCCATCATCACCATCACCATCATCCACTCCAGCCGCGCAAAAACATCACCGCCGCCCATGCACGAGCGTGCTCTTCATTCTCTCCCTCGCTGAGTGAGCGTGTGATTGTAGTGGCTAGCACGCGGGCCTTCTCATCTCATTCTCATTCTTCATATCATCTTCGTCATCAGTTGGCCACAAGTTTGCCTTCTCCATCTTCTTCTACTTCCCCAGGCGCGGTAAGCATTTTCTGTTTCTATTTCGCTTTGTTTTGGTGTCTAAAATGACGTTTCTGACGATCTGCTTTCACTTGTGAACTTAGCTGCCTTCCACACACAACACAACACAACCTTTGTGACCTCTTTTACAACTTAAACTGCCTTCTTCCTCATCTAACCCCCACTGCTCATGAAAACGCCACTGTTTGGAACGCATTTGCTCTTATTCTACTTCTCTTATCTTTACCTCTCAAATACTTAATCTACCTTTTACCATATGCTCCGTTGTGTGAACAATCTACTGAAGAAGATGTTTACGACGACGACGACCGAGACAGTTATTAGTCAAGTAGGAATGCCGAAGCATGCCACCACCACCACCACAACCGTCATGAACCCGGATGGGAGCCACTCGCTTCACATCCGACTTCTCAGTCCGGTGGGGGCGGAAGCCTTCGAGTACGACTTCACTCCGGGAGGACTTAACAATGTTAGTAGAAACTCATTCACCTCATGAGCCAAACCAAAATGGTTTTTATGTTCTATTTTGTTTTTTAGAAAAAGGGCAACTTCTCTGGAGACATCTATGAAACCATTTTTCAAATTATCAAATTTGTTGGCATCGAGTTTGAAGATCTGCAATTGGCGATTGAGCAAAATGTCATAAAGAATAATCTTGTGAACAACCTCGACTCTTTAAAGACGCTCTGCGACAAGTACAACAGAGTGGTCAAAGACACGCTTCAAATGGTTTGTTTTCTCACATCTTTCCTCACTAGACTAAATGTCTTATTTAACTTCTTTCTTTCAACAGAACAAAGGCACATCCATTCAGAAGCGCATCACCAAGCCTCGACCTTCTACTGAACTTCTTCACCAAATCATACAGATGTGCTACAATTGTTCAGTAGGAGAACCGACCAGGCTGAACAAGTTCTACGAGCCATTCTCACCCGAAGTTTATGGAGAAACTTCCTTTCAGTTCATTCAGCAAATGATTGACGAGTTTCCCCTGAGTGAAGACGACGTTTTCGTTGATCTCGGCAGTGGAATCGGCCAAGTGGTCCTCCAAGTTGCCGCCGCTTCAAAGTGTGCTCGCTGCATTGGCATTGAAAAAGCAGAACTGCCTTCTAATATTGCCCTGGTAAGTGTAGCGAATTGTCAAAAATGGACTTTATTTAATTTTAGTTTTTTCAGGACATGGAAAAGAGTTTCAAGTTTTGGATGAAGTGGTTTGGAAAAGAGTACTCCAAGTTTGAGCTCCAAAAGGGCGATTTCTTTGATAAGACGTATGACGAAACGCTTAACGCTGCTACGTAAGTGCTTCGAAACTCTTACTTTGTTGTGTTTACAATCGTTTTACCTTGCCTCTTTTTGCAGATTCATTTTTGTGAACAACTTTGCTTTTGGCCCGGAAGTGGACCACAGGCTGAAGAANTGTATGAAGAAACGCTTAACGCTGCTACGTAAGTGTTTCGAAACTCTTACTTTGTTGTGTTTACAATCGTTTTAACTTGCCTCTTTTTGCAGATTCATCTTTGTGAACAACTTTGCTTTCGGCCCGGAAGTGGACCACAGGCTGAAGAAGAAGTTTGAATATCTCAAAGATGGAGCCCGAATTCTGTCGTCAAAGGCATTTTGCTCTTCAAATGTCAGGATTACTGAGCGAAATCTGAATGGTATTTTTGTTCATTAACCTGAAANCGTATGACGAAACGCTTAACGCTGCTACGTAAGTGCTTCGAAACTCTTACTTTGTTGTGTTTACAATCGTTTTACCTTGCCTCTTTTTGCAGATTCATTTTTGTGAACAACTTTGCTTTTGGCCCGGAAGTGGACCACAGGCTGAAGAAGAAGTTTGAATATCTCAAAGATGGAGCCCGAATTCTGTCGTCAAAGGCATTTTGCTCTTCAAATGTCAGGATTACTGAGCGAAATCTGAATGGTATTTTTGTTCATTAACCTGAAAGTGTTTGTAACTACAACTTTTTCTTCGCTTAGATATTGGAATCATTATGAAGTTAAAAGAAATCGATCCAAACAAAACCGTTCGTCAATCTGTGTCGTGGACGGGAAAACCAGTTTCCTACTTCCTCCACACAATTGATCGTACCGAGTACGCCAAGTACGTTGAGCGTCAAGCCATGAAGAATGACCGGGTTAAAAAATCTCGCACAAATAGGGTAAAGTTTTTATTTTTCATTTGTTTAATTTGGAAACTAACTTTTACTTTTTAAATCAGACCGATCGAAGCACAAAGAGCAGCAGCAGAAAAGACACTGTCGAGTCTTCGTCGTCGACCAACACATCTGACGGCAGTCCAGTTGAGAGTAAGGACGAGAATCTTCCGCCAAAGTGGACTCGAAACAAGTGGAACGAGTTTGTCAAAGTTCAAAGTACATCTAATGACACTACTGCCGCCGCCGCCGCCACGTCGAATCACACCTCACCAGAAAAGTGTCAAAGTAGCACCAGCAGCAGTAGCATGTGTAAAGTGGATGCCGAGTCGGCCGCCAAGTCATCTCGCGGCAGGCCACGAAAGCCCACAGTTACAGCAGAGAAGATGGCTCCCGCCTCTGTGAGCAGCAGCAGCGTGAGAACGGAAGACGAAAACTCGATGACTTCTCTCTGCGAGTCCACATCAAGCAAGGTGATGGAGAGCAAGGGCGAACAACAACAACAGGAGGAGGGAGAAGGACTGACTTCCTCTCTTCGCCGACGCGGCCGACCGCCAAAGACGCAAAAGGCGCCAACACAGAAGCGGGCAAGGGATCCACTGCGCGGAGTGAGCATGAGCAGTCTGGAGCTGCTCCACCAGAAGACACTGGAGAGCATTGGCGACTCTGATGTAGACCCGCGCAATGCGCCACGGGGATGCGTCGCCCAGAAGATCTGCATCTACGAGGACACCGTTCCCATTCCGGCCATTCAGGTGACCAATGAGGAGCTGATTGCCACTGACAATGAGAACGTGCCGCTCATATCGCCCAGCGGTTCAGAGAGTTCAGCGCCACTGGTGGAGAACCCCAAAGGCTACCAACTGGTCGACTGCGCTACCATGGACGAGTTTTTGAGTGTAATCAAGTACAGCCTGCAGAACATGCTGGACACCTTCAAGTGTCCGCAGTACGGCGAGAACCTCAAGAAGAGGATCTCCAATGAAGAGGTATGTGGTATTGGGTATTTTAATTTGGGGTAATATTTTCATGCCCCCCCCCCTCCTCTATACAGAAACGACGAAACGAGTTACGCGTCCAGGAGAACTACCTCAAAGTGCGCATCTTTGAGCAGAAGCAGCAGGCAGTGAACCAGACGAAACTGAAGATGGCCCAGCTTGGCGTCGATCCCCTCTCAATTCAGGAGCTCTATAATCGACTGGCCTATGAGGAGGATCGGAAGCTGAAGCAGAATTCAATTGTTGAGGAGATGAAAGCAAAAGTGGAGAAGTTGTCGGCTGAAAATGCAAAACTGCAAGCGGAAAAGGAAAAGGCTGCCGATGATATGCGAAAGGTGGAGGAGGCCATGGCTGTTGCGCAGGCTACTGCGGCTCTTCGCTATGCGGAGGAGAAGAAGGCCGCTGAGGAAAAGCGAGCTGCCGAGGAGAAGCGGATCGCCGATGAGAAGAAGGCCGCCGACATTGCTGCCGCCGCGGCTGCAGCTGCAGCTTCGGCCACAGCCGTTGCTGCCGCCTTGCTTCAAAATGGTCACAGCAATCACGCCGCCTCAGCAGCACCTAAGCGAAGCAGCACCTACAAGGAGCTGAAGTACAAGACCAATCGAATGAATTTGGACCTGTCTAACCCAGTGTCCAACGATTCGTCGGAGAACTCTCTGCCTGCAATGAGCACCAGCAGCAGCAATAGCAACAGCAGTGGCAAACACAATGATTACCACCCGGTGAAGCCAACGGCGACCATGAACAGCTTGCCCAACGGCGCTGCAGCAGAGCGAATGCCCGTCAACAGTCCCCATCGAATGGAAGGACTGTTCTACAAGGCCTTTGAAAATCCGGAGAAGGTGGAGCAGCTGCACAGCAGCAGTAGCAAGTTGGCGACCCAGCCGCCAGCGTCGACACCAGCTCCATCAACCCCTGCGGCCGCCGCCGTTTCTCTGCTCACAAATGGTCATCACAGTAACAACCCTTCAACAAACATTCCCAGCAGCAAGTCTTCTGCTACTACTGCTACGGCTGCTGCTGCCCCTGCTCAGCCACCAAAGCCGACGGCGCAGACAGGCAGACGAAAGCTTTCTCGAAAGCCCCGAGTGGAGACGCTGGTCACGAAGAAGGACCACCAAGTGCTGTTCAAAAACTCGGGCGGTTGTCCGACGTTGCAGATTGTCCGCAATCCACAGCCGGCGACCGTCAGCCGAGAGAACAGCCTTGAGTTGATTATCAACTCAGTGGTCGCCAACAGCTACGCCAAGGCGCCGGAGCCACCAGCAGCATCTTTAACATCCTCGTCGACGGACAAGCCGTCGATAAAGATGAAGATCAACACCAAGGCCAACACCACCTCTCTCCTGCTGGACTCGGTTCCTGCTGATCCAGTTACGTTCAGCAGTAGCAACACCAACAACAACAGCAGTTCAAGCGGCACTAGCAGTAAACGCAAGTCCAGCACTGAGGAGTCCTCGTCGTCCAAACGAGCCAGCACTCGCAGTCAGAAGAAGAAGAATGAGGCGGCTAAGGCTGCTGCCGCTGTCGCCCCCGCTCCCGCTNCGTTCAGCAGTAGCAACACCAACAACAACAGCAGTTCAAGCGGCACTAGCAGTAAACGCAAGTCTAGCACTGAGGAGTCCTCGTCGTCCAAACGAGCCAGCACTCGCAGTCAGAAGAAGAAGAATGAGGCGGCCAAGGCTGCTGCCGTTGTCGCCCCCGCTCCCGCTCCTACCGCTTCCAATAGCACCTCCACTAGCAGCAACACTGTAGAGAATGGAAGCAACAACAACAACCCTGCTGAACCGAAACTGCCGCCTGTCAAGCTGAAGCTAACGGGCAACAACGGAACAAACTACCAGCTGATGAAGAGCACTGATGTGGTGGTCGACAACAGCGGCAGCAGCTCTTCTACTACTACCCCCTCCAGTGGTGGTGGTGGTAGCAGTGTACCTCCTCCACCGCTGGACACCATCAACTGGACTTCATCAGACGGAACCTACAACAACGCCAACAGCAGCACTGCCTCCCCTGTGTCGTCTAGCAGCAACAGTAAAAAGACGCCAAAGACACGCTCCTCTTCGTCGAAGAAAGGCAGCACCGACAGTGCTCCCATTGCTGCTCCCCCATCATCGCAAAGCAGCGAACCACAGCACTACCCTTCGTCCCAAAGTAGTACTCCGCCTGAGGGCCTCCTCCTGTACCAGTCGCAGCAACAGCAGCAGAATGGAGGTCTCACCACTGCCACCACCGCTCCTCGCCACCATCAGCCATCACCACCGGAGAACTTTGCGCCGCCC